TATTATTATTTATATAATAAATTATCTAACAAATATAATTTATTATAATTTGATAAAATTAAATAAATAATTAATGTATGAAGTTTTATATTCAATTATACATTTCAATTGACATTATTGTATGAAATTTTATTGGAATTTAGTTTTAAAAAAAATTGATTTTAAGCCAAGTTCTAATCAGCATTCATTCATTATCTTTAGAAGAATTTAGAAAATGTTTTTAGATAATTCAAAACCATTAAGATGGCTATTTTTACTATTTTAACTGTTGATAATATATATATGTTTTAAGGAAAATCAACTAAAATGAAATTTTTATAAAGTAAATTAATAATTTATTAATTCAAGTTTTGAAAAAAATTACAGACATTATTAAAATTTCCTTAAAAGTTTTAATTTTTAAAGGCTAGTTAAGAAGGAAATTGTCATTTAAATAACTAAAATATGCATTAAATTACAATTTTTGTGTACGGAAATAAATTAAAATATAAAAATTTTTTAATTTAAATTTTTGAAAAAGCAATTTTAATTAAGAAAAATGTATGAATTTCAATAAATTTTCTTTAAATAAGTTGTTTTTAATGCTAATCACATAAAATAAGCCATTAAAATAACTAAAATGTGTATTAAATTCTGGTTATTGGATAGGAAGTAAATTACATTGTTTTTAAATTTAAATTTAAAAAAAAATTGAATTAAAAACGCAAGTATTTCCATTAAAATTGACTAAAGTTCGCACTATATTCCGATTTTACTGCATAAAAAAGCAAAACTAATTAATTGATTTATTTACATATTAGTTTCACATTGCGCCATCTCTTGTGAAATTTTATCACTAATTTTGAAAATTTTTCAAGAGGAATGGGGAAAAAAGTATATAAATTATTCAAATTAAGTCAACTAATTTAATAAACAAGAAAAAGGGTAAATGATCGGTTCTGGTTGGCAATGAGTCATCAACAGAAGGAGGGACATTTCGACAAATTAGGATCCAGTTTGTCATGCTGTCGTGTGTGCATGTGTGTGTGGTGTGCTTCATTGATTACTCGGATATAGGACATTTGAATGATTCATGAACACGCTTTGTAATAAATGTATCTATTCCGAAGTATATTTAAGTTTATATTTTAAAAATTACAAGTGATAACTTGTTGAAGTCAAGATTAATATCCTCAATTGACCATTTTATAACCATTAAAGGTAACTGGAAAAGGCAGTATAGTGATATCTGATAGTATATATATGTCATCAGTTCTAAGACCGTTTGTTGGGATTCACATTGTGAAAACTCAACTGATAATAATGATTGTAGAAGACAAATGTAGGCATTAATGGTAAGAAAGGAGGAATTGAAGAGGGTCATTTTCTTGGTTTATCAATGGTGAAGTAAGAGGAGAAGTGGACTTTTCTAACATCTGCTTTTTCTCCTTTTCTTTTTTCCCCCTCCTAAAGAACCAATAGTTTCAACGATTCCGATAAGGAAAAAAGAGAATATGATATTGAAATTTTTGATAAAAGTTTGTGTGAGGAGATTTTCTGTGTCATAATTTCATTTCTCCATCGTTTTATTTTGCATATTGTTTGATGTGTGCTATCAAGAAGAAAAGACAAAGGAGAATAATATTGTTATTAATTGCAATTATCCAATTTAATATATAATTTGGTCTATTATTTAATAAATTTATGCTGCTTATTTCGTAATTAAATTTTGAAATTAGGATGTCATTAAATAATAATAATAATAATAATAATATAAAAATATATGCAGATATACATTTAAAACTTTTAATTTTAGGGAAAATTTTGGTTTTTTCGAGGGATAATTTAGGGATATTTCAGCGTTAAAAAGAAACATTTTCTTTATTTTCGGGATATTTTTAGGGAATATTTGATTTAGGGATATTTCAAATATTAAGGAAATTTTTCTTAACTTCTTGGACGTTTTTAGAGAAAATCTTGTTCCCTCGACCGATAATTTAGGGATTTTTTACGTGTTAAAAAAAGAAAATTTGATTCACTCATCGACAATTTTTAGGGAAAGTTTTCAATAATTTAAGGATATTTCAAGTGTTAAAAGTGACAGTTTGTTTCCTCAAGTAATAATTTAAAGATATTTAATTAAGGAATAATGGTAATAATTAAGGAAAATTAAGGAATAATAAGTAATAATTTAAAGAATTTAATTAAGGATAAATGAAGAAAATNTTAATAAAATAATTTTAATTTTTTAAATAATTTTATTAAATCACTTAATAAATAATAACACAAAAAATTTAAATAAAAATAATTTTAGAAATAATTATTGATTTTTTACAATACTTGTATATAAAAATTAAATTAATAAATAATTGCTTTTATGGAAATTCAAATTAGTTTATTTATTTATTTTTTTCTTTTATATCCTTACCTTAAAATTCTCATCAAACAATAAACTTTTTTAAAATACTCATCATTAACATTATTAGCCTATATAAGTTATATTATTTTTAAAAATTAAATTAATTTATAAAAATAGTATTTATGATGATAATGATAATGAGAACGATGTTGAATATAAGGAGAGTAAAAAGTATAAAGATGCTAAGGAAAATAAGAAAATATACGAAACAACGAGAACAAATTACTTTCTGAAAATATCAATTTAAGAAATTTTCGCTTAATGTTTAAAAAAATAACATTAATTTATTAATGCAACAATTATTCTTTTTAAAATTACTCACCAGATAATAAAGAGTAATATATATTAAGATGACTAAATATTTCGAAATATCAATTAAACCAATTTTTAAATTAATCATCAACTATAACAAATTTATTTCTCTAATTTAATAATTGCCTTTAATTAACATAATTATATACGCAGATTCATAATTATTCATTAAATCATTATTAGATGTTCTTAAGAAAAATTTAAATTATAGGCTATAAAATAATATTTAGATCAATTATTCTCGTTTTTTTTTATTTTCAGAATTTAAATCATTTATTATTACTTTTATTATTTTTAAATTTATTTTTTTTATGCTAAAGCGTGATTTAAACGCGATGGACTACGGATAGCTAGCATCTAGGTAAACAAGTTAATGACAGAGTCAATTTCATATGAAGCAGACTACGTCAATGATGTTCAAATTACGTCCATGTGCCAAATGATAGAAATATGTCTACTTTTTGTATATATGGAATATACAAAATATTTGTGGCCCGTCTACCTGCGCAATTTGCCCCACTAATCGAAAAGTTTGAGTACCATTGGACTATGCTATTGGCTTGCTTACAAGTTTGTTGCTTGCTACCTATTGATGATCTGCTCCTGTTCTGTTAACACATTTAGCACCCCTCTCATTGGTTTATATTTGTTAAATTGACTAATTTAAAGAATTTTCGAGAGTTTTTCTACTGTCACTTATGTGTCATGTAATCACTTAAACTTTGAAGACATGTAATAGACTTGCTTCATCGAAGCAATAGATCATTCGAACCTTATATACATCGTGTTTACTACAAAATACAGGAAAACACCCAAGTGTAGCGTTCACCAATTTAACGCATCTGGCATAACCAAGCAATTATAATTCATACATTTATGCAAAATAATTGTAGAGAAATACTTATGTAGAAAAATTTAATACGAAATTCTCCAAAGAGTAAAAAAAGTAATGCCGTTCTCATTAAATATCAAATCATTTTATCCAGTTTGGGCCAATTTATTTTAAGAATATTTATAAGGTCTGTAATGACTAGTTTCTCTAAAATTTTTGAAAATTCTGAGAATTACAGCGCCTATTTTCCATTTAGCGATGATA